GAAGAGAAATAAAGCACTTCTTAGAGGGACGGCAGAAGTGACTTTGAACTTGGATCAGCTCCTCTGTGTCCTGCAGAGAGAGTAGGACTGCAGCCCTGAAAGAATAGCAAATACACACCAGCCTGCGGGGTCTCTGTGTGCAATTAAAGAATTCCCCCTAAACTTTATCTGGGAAAGCTCCTGAAGCTGCACACACAGCACCAGCCAGAAATCTAGCAGGGAAAGGAAGAGAAGGCTGAAGAAAGGTAAGCACTTTCATGTCGGAATTGCACTGTGCCACCAATGGCTTCTACAAAACGGTTTGTTTCAGAGGACACTTTCCTGCACTGCATATACACCACTTGCCTTGGTGAACGCAGAGCTTTGGGAATATGTGTTACGATATAGGGCTGATGGCCGAAGCTGGCATGCAGAGAATCTGACAGTGCCAGGAAAATAGGTACTACCCCTCCCCAGTATAATGTAGCAGTATACCGGAGTAGTGTCAGGAGAATAGGTACTACCCATCCCCAGTGTAATGTAGCACTATACCCGAGCAGTAACAGGAGAACAGTTAATACAATTCTCCAGTGTAATGTAGCACTATACTCGAGCAGTAACAGGAGAACAGTTAATACAATTCTCCAGTGTAATGTAGCACTATACTCGAGCAATATCAGGAGAACAGTTACTACAATTTTCCAGTGTAATGTAGCACTATACCCGAGCAATGTCAGGAGAACAGTTACTATCCTCTTGTATAACCTAGCATTAAAATCGGGTAGTGCCAGGAGGCCAGGAAAAGGCTCCCTCTCCAGTATCATCTAGTAGTATCACCAGGTAGGGCAATGAAACCAGTTACTACCTCTCTCTAGTATCATTTAGGGGTATAACCAGGCAGGTTGAGAAACCAGTTACTACCCCTCACCAGTTGTAGCAGAAAAAAACAAGCAGTACCAGGAGATCAGTTACTAATACTCTCTGATATATTAAAAACAGTACTAGAAGACTAGATTCTACCCCTCTCCAGTAAATGTAGCAGTATAAATAATTAGGCAGTGCCAGGAGAGCAGACACCACCACTACTTAGTATAAGCAGGCAGTGCCACCAGAGAAGATACTACCACTCTCCATTCAGTATAATCAGGCAGTGCCAGGAGACCAGTTATTTCCCCTTCCCATTTTAAATTAGTGCTAAGAGGCCAGTCCTCTCCAATATAAAATAAGACAGTGTAAGGAGACCAGTTACTAATCCTCTCCAATAAAATCGGGCAGTGGCAGAAGATCATTTACTAGCGCTCTCCAGCCTGTGCTACTAAACAATTTACTACCCCTCTTCAGTAAAAAAATCAGGCAGTGCCAGGAGACCAGTTACTACCCCTCTACACTGAAAAACAAGAGTCAGTGCCAGGAGACCAGTTATTAACCCTCACCAGCATAACATCAGATAGTGCCAGGAGACCAGTTCTACCCCTCTCCAGTATAAAATCAGTCATTGCCAGGAGACCAGTTACTACTCCTCTACAGTGAAAAAAAAATGTGCCAGGAAACCAGTTACCACCCATCTCCAATATAACATTAGTGCCAGGAGACCAGTTACAACCCATCTCCAGTATAAAAGTAGTGCCAGTTGACCAGTTACTACCCCTCTCCAGTATAAAATTAGGCAGTGCCAGTGGACCAGTTACTACCCCTCTCCAGTATAAAATCAGGCAGTGCAAAGAGACCAGTTACTACCCATCTCCAGTATAAAATCAGACCGTGCCAGTGTACCAGTTACTACCCCTCTCCAGTATAAAAATCAATAGACCAGTTACTACCCTTCTCCAGTATAAAATCAGGCAGTGCCAAGAGACCAGTTACTACCTCTCTCCAGTATAAAATCAGACTGTACCAGTGGACCAGTTACTACCCCTCTCCAGTATAAAATCAGGCAGTGCCAACAGGCCAGTTCCTACCCTTCTCCAGTATAAAATCAGGCAGTGCCAATAGACCAGTTCCTACCCCTCTCCAGTATCAGACCGTGCCAGTGGACCAGTTACTACCCCTCTCCAATATAAAATCAGACAGTGCCAGTGGACCAGTTACTACTCCTCTCTCCAATATAAAATCAGACCGTGCCAGTGGACCAGTTACTACTCCTCTCCAATATAAAATCAGACCGTGCCAGTGGACCAGTTACTACCCCTCTCCAATATAAAATCAGACAGTGCCAGTGGACCAGTTACTACCCCTCTCCAATATCAGACCGTGACAGTGGACCAGTTACTACCCCTCTCCAATATAAAATCAAACAGTGCCAGTGGACCAGTTACAACCCCTCTCCAATATAAAATCAGACCGTGCCAGTGGACCAGTTACAACCCCTCTCCAATATAAAATCAGACAGTGCCAGTGGACCAGTTACAACCCCTCTCCAATATAAAATCAGACAGTGCCAGTGGACCAGTTACAACCCCTCTCCAATATAAAATCAGACAGTGCCAGTGGACCAGTTACTACCCCTCTCCAATATAAAATCAGACAGTGCCAGTGGACCAGTTACTACCCCTCTCCAATATAAAATCAGACAGTGATAGTGGACCAGTTACTACCCCCTCTCCAATATAAAATCAGACAGTGCCAGTGGACCAGTTACTACCCCTCTCCAATATAAAATCAGACAGTGATAGTGGACCAGTTACTACCCCTCTCCAATATAAAATCAGACAGTGCCAGTGGACCAGTTACTACCCCTCTCCAATATAAAATCAGACAGTGCCAGTGGACCAGTTACTACCCCTCTCCAATATAAAATCAGACAGTGCCAGTGGACCAGTTACTACCCTTCTCCAGTATAACAATGTAGATTGTGATTTATTTTCGCAGGCTCTTGGTTAACTCGCACTTGCGGTCACACTTGTAATTGTTTATGCGCCTCCAGCTCTCTAAACAAACAGTAATTAGTGAGAGGGTCTGATCATGCCTTTCTTTACAGATCAATGTCTTTCTATTATAAAGGACACTTATCTTTGTGTCTATCTGCTTGCTGGTTATCTCCATATCCTCTTGGCGGGGAAGGATCCAGCCAGCCATGGTTTGGAGGGTTTCTACTCTTGTCTCCCCTAGATGTGACTTCAGAGCAGCCAGACCAAGGCGTGACTCGGCCCTCAGTGGGCTCCACGCTGGGTGGCGTGGAAGTCCCAATTTCTGGAACTCGCTGAGCTTTGCCAGGGTTGGAGGCACATCAGAGATCTTATTGCATTGTGCTGCTATGGGTGCGGCTTTGTTTTCATTAATGTGCAATAGTATCCCCCTCATAGGATTCATCAGTACTAAAAATATCAAAAGAGACTGGTACACATAGTAGCCACAGACAGCTAACATTACATCACACAATACTAGGATGGATGGATGGATGGTGAAAGGCACTGCTAGTCCCAGTAACAATCTCTGGTTACAAATTATACAGACTTGCATGGAAATACATTTTAATAACGAATGCTTTTAGAATGGCAATAAGGAACCCACAACACAGAGAAAGAAATGCCTCATCAATCATAATTGTCTGATCACTATACTACCTTGTGTATTTATTGTGCTTTATTTTCTACCTGGTATTTCAGAGTGACTGATCCCAGCTTTCCTCCATAGACACAGATATTCTGCTGATGAGTGGACTGAATCCCTGTATATACCCAGGTGTGCTGTGAATGGGTTCTAGAAGCGACCAATCATCTATATTTACATGGCAGAAAATAAAATCTGCTCATTGGGCCTCATACATCGTATCTACAAATATATAAATGCTCCCTTTAGGAAATATAATATGGAAATAACATTTAGCACTACATACAATATTCCCATTTTTTTGACAGATACATTGGATACAATTTATTCACATGTATTTTACGGGCCGATGTGTGCTATACTTGAACACTTCATTTGCACCATCCTTTTTCGTTGAACACATAATAGAATTTAGTACAGAATTAGCAATATGCTGTTCCAATGTGCCCCTGGTCTCTACATAATTCTGCGTCGTGATTTGTATTGTCTGCTCCCTTTCCACGTCTAGGTGGTCACCAGGAAATGAATGGACAGTGGATTTGTTTTTGCGTGGACCCTTTTTTCCTATGACAGGGACATAAAAGCTGGGAAATCGATGGAGAGCATCATGTGCCCAGGGCTGCAGCCAGAGGGGTGGGAGGGGCGGAGCTTGTGATTGGCAGGAGAGTTGGGAAGAGCTCCGAACATGTCTCCAGTGTGTGCAGCCAATAGGAGAGCGGGCAGAGCTCGGCCGGGCAGCTGTTATAGGGGGGCGGTGGTGAGTGCGCTCGGCAGTCCAGTAAGAGAGTAGAGCAGACAGCAGAGGAGGGGGGTGTCTTCGGGGGGAAAAAACAACAAAAAAAAACCCAGCAAACATAAAGCGGCCAGCACAACAAAAGCCCCACACTAACCACATCTACTGAATAGAAAAGCAAACAAAAGCGACGGGACGGGAGGAGGAAAAGTGTTGTTCGGACAATGAGGAGCGGAGGATCGGCCCGATTACCGTGCACTGCTTGGCTGGCTTGTGAGCTGCTCCCTCCACGTTGTGTGATATCACTTTTCTTTTCTGCTTGTTTGTGTTCTTCCCCCTCCCCCTCCTCCTCCTCTTCCTAGGAACCCTCCTCCTCTGACAGCCCTCCTCCCACCACCCCGAGCAGCAACTTAAAGAAAGAAGAAGAGGAGAGAGAGGAGCATCTGCCGCCCGATCGTTCATCTGGGGGGAATCTGAGCCGACTTCCCGACAGAGGAGGGCCATTTGGAATGAGGATGATCCCATTGCACTGAGCTCTGGACATTGGCCATGGACAGGCTCCTGTGATCTGGGGGTGCAGCTCAGTGTGTAGTGATCCTTGCACCTGGATAATATAGACAGGGGGGCTGTCATCTGATTCTTCTTCGTCTGTGTCTGATCGATCTCCTTTGTAAAGTCTCCATCGCCCTGATCCAAGACAGGTGACTGACAGCCCATCCTCCTCCACAGACTGTGGGAGATGCTGCTGGACGCCGGCCCTCAGTTCCCGGCCCTGGGTGTGGGCACCTTTGCCCGGCATCACCATCATCACCACCACCATCACGCCGCGGTTGCGGCAGCTGCGGCGGCAGCAGCGGAGATGCAGGAGAGGGAGCTGAGCCTGGCGCAGAATAGCTTCGTGGAACCGGCGCACATGGGGGCTTTCAAGCTGAACCCTGCGGGGGGCTCTGGAGGGGGCAGCGGTGGAGGCAGTGGAGGTGGAGCCGGCTCGGCCGGGGTGGCAGGGAGCAGTGGACCTCATGACTTGTCCCCGCCGGGGCAGAGCTCAGCCTTCACTTCCCAGGCGGGGTATCCTGCATCTGCCCTGGCTCCGCATGCCGCGTACACGGGCGCCGCGTTCAACAGCCCCCGAGACTTCTTATTCCGCGGACGAGGCTTTGCAGAGGGGGGTGCCGCTGCAGGAGGGGGCCAACATGGCTTATTTGGGCCCCCAGCAAGCAGCCTACACCATCACCCCCACCATCATCAACTACCACATGGGGAGCACCCGCAGAGCCACCTGCTGTTCCCCGGGATCCATGAGCAGCATGCTGCAGCGTCCCAGAACGCTCTCGGCGGACAAATGAGACTGGGTCTGCCCGGAGAGGTGTTCGGCAGGACAGACCAGTACCGCCAGGTGTCCAGCCCCAGAGGGGACCCCTACACTGCTGCACAACTGCACAACCAGTATGGCCCAATGAACATGGGCATGAACATGGCTGCACACCACCATCATCATCACCACCACCACCCGGGGGCCTTCTTCAGGTACATGAGACAGCAATGCATCAAGCAGGAGCTCATCTGCAAGTGGATCGACCCCGAACAACTCAGCAACCCCAAGAAAAGCTGTAATAAGACTTTTAGTACCATGCACGAGCTGGTCACCCATGTGTCTGTGGAACATGTCGGGGGCCCCGAGCAGAGCAACCACATCTGCTTCTGGGAGGAGTGTTCCAGGGAGGGAAAACCATTCAAAGCCAAATACAAACTGGTCAACCACATCAGAGTTCACACTGGGGAGAAGCCTTTCCCATGCCCCTTCCCTGGATGTGGCAAGGTCTTTGCCCGATCAGAGAACCTTAAAATCCACAAAAGGACTCATACAGGTAGGTTCCCTCATAAAATAAACCGCTTTACTTTCAATTCAATTATACCCTGAAAAAATACAACACATTTCTACTGTATGTCTGGCCGATCTGACACCCTACACCAACATTGCTATGATCTTGGATGGTCCTCATTGGACCATCTTCGCTTACATATTAATTATTATTATCAAGTTTGCAGCCTAATCCTACCTGTGCCTGCCTGCCATTATGTCTTTACGAGGGACCATTCATGGGCTAATGTCTCTGGGATTGACAGCCTTCTGCTGGGAGATTTCATTTGTTAGTAGAAATTCCTGCAGTTTAGAATTTGTATTTTTTTTTTAAAGCCGATTCCTCTTTTATGTAGGCATCACCTAATACTAATGTCTTTATTGCCGTGTGAATGACAAGATCTTATATCCTCTATAAACCACACTAGTGAAAATAATGGGGTTCTCATATGTAAATGTGTGAGAAATCTTCTATTATTATTTATATAACAAAAAAAATATATATATATTAGAATTATTATGTTATGTATGTACGTGTGTGTGTGTGTGTGTGTATGTGTGTATATATATATATATATATATATATATATATATATATATGTGTGTGTATGTATGTCTTTTATAACATTTTTTTGCTATTATAGTGTGTGTATATTTTAATATCAGTTTGTTGCCATTATAGTGTGTGTATATGTTAATATCAGTTTTTTGCTATTAGTATGGTGTGTGTATGTTTTTCTATATAATGTCATTTATTTTGTTATAGTGTGTGTGTGTGTGTGTGTGTGTGTATATATATATATTATATATATATATATATATATATATATATATATATATATATATATAGTATGTTAATCTTTTTCTTGATGGAATGTTCTAAATATCGCTGTTATTTTCAGGAACTATCCATCGAGTTATTTTTGTAAGAATTTCTAAAGCCAATAGCACACCTTTTCGGGCTGTGTCTGTAAACATTTATTATAAGGAAAATAAAAAGACGTGAGGCCGATGTGGCGGGATTGATTGTAGGTGTGAGACAATATTTAACAAGGTTTAAAATGAAGGGCATTTCTTAGCATAGAAAGTCTACATTTAAACTCGTAGTATCTGAACAGATGTCGCTTAAAACAATTTAGGTGCTAATGGAATTTAATGCTAAGTGGATTCCCTCCAAATGGAGGATATTTGAGTTATCACACCTCTAAATTGCTCCAAACAACATAACATTTGGAAATGTAGTGAGAGGGGGAAGGGACTGGCTGTGAAAATCGAATGAAGGCATTTTAAATATGTTTATCCGTTTTACGAGCCGCTTGTTTACCCCACCTGGGAGCATCAGCAGCACAATCTCCTCCTAAACTGTTTGCAAATGAATCAACAATTAGCATCTATTTCTAAACTGATAGGGAAGGGAATTCGACCTCGATTTCAACTTGTATCGTTTACTAAACTGCTTGAGGAAATGAGCCTGCGGTATTACATCTAGGTGCTTTGGTTTCAACAAGCTGGATTATAATGTAGCCTTGGATTGTGGCAGTGGTGTGGACTGTTGTGTAATGGCTGAATTGTCTATTTTCAGGGGAGAAGCCTTTCCAGTGTGAATTTGAAGGCTGTGACAGGAGATTCGCAAACAGCAGTGACAGAAAGAAGCACATGCACGTCCACACTTCGGACAAGCCCTACCTGTGTAAGATGTGCGACAAATCGTACACTCACCCCAGCTCTCTGCGGAAACACATGAAGGTAAGGCCTGCCTCATTCCCCAGCACGGTGCCCTGGCTAATTCTGCTAATCCCCCATACGGTCTTTAGTCTCTGCTCCAACTGCTACATCCATTAATAATAGCCAGTACTATCACCTATTCTGATTAGTCGGTAAAGACAGGATTGTGTACTTATTTACAGCGACATCGAACCGCGTCCAATGGACCGATTACATTGTTTTCATGGCATTTTGTTAAAATCGCACTGACCGGCTTCTTCTGTTCTCTCCTAGGTGCACGAGTCTTCCCCTCAAGGTTCAGAGTCATCTCCAGCTGCCAGCTCCGGCTATGAGTCTTCAACCCCTCCAGGCCTGGTGTCACCGAACACGGAGACACAAAGTACCAACCTATCCCCCGCGGGGGCCGCAGTCTCTGCAGTGCACAGTGTAGCTAGCGGCGCCGCGGGGCCCCTGTCGTCAAACTTCAATGAATGGTATGTGTAGGGGCCACCACTGGCTCTAGTGGGACACTTTCGAGGCCACCAGAGACAATGCAGCACTCCACATTCACTACTGTTCTCACAAGACCAATGGACATTCCTGGGAAGGATTATACTGCACAATCCTAAAAATAAGAGTTTGTGTGCACCCAATAAGAATCTATTTATTCTCCTGTCCTTTTACCCCAAAGAAGAGCAAATTATTTTACTCTGACCCACACCCCACCCCCCCCCCCCCCCCCCCCGTCCATTTTCCCCCTGACATTGTACATAGCTCACTTCTCTTGGTTGAGATGAAGAGGACATTTTAATCTACTTGTTGTATAGCGGTTTTATCCGGTTGTATATATGGCTCCACATAACAAGTGCAGGACTTTTATCTTAATCCACCAGTCTACAAATACAGCGAAGGAGGGGATTGTCCCCTGGTTTTTATTTTTGTATATTCCTTTTGTGTATTGTGCTATCGGTATTGTGTCTTTTTTTTTTTTCTAGAGGAAACAAACATGATTGTAAATGTTCATGCAACTGGGCTGGGAAATAATAAAACTCCGTGCCAAAGTCTCTCCTGTGTTTTTTGGAGTTCCAGCAGGCAGCCCCTTTTATTACACAGGCTTGTGAATGTCATTTTCTGTTTCACGTGACGTTTTCTGTGCTTTCTCCAGTTCAGTTTGTTGGGGACTTTTTGAGAGACGTGGGGAAGGGGGGATTCAACGTTGTGCACTCCTTCCTCCTGTAAATACTCCTTACCATATTTATCCATTTGTAATTAAATTATGGCATTAACTTGCTACAGAGGAAACACTATTTATAAAGAATGTTTCTTAATTATAAATATGTACAATTGTGAGCATAAATTGTTCTCAGATTTTTTTTTTCTTATTTAAAGTGGTTTCATCCTTTCTGTGACTTGTTTTGAGAGTAAATGCATACAGACCTATAATAAATTGTGTTGAAACTGCATGTATGATTCAGTCTGTGTCCAGGTTCTAATAATGTGAGCTTCCAAGAATTTTCATTATCTGCTTTATTGTAACAAATCAAAGGACTCCAGAGGTTGAAGAGAGGCGTGGGTTATAAAACATATTAACAGAAAATATTGTAACTTTCATTGCCTGACCAATCTATTTTAATATAAAAGGCTGCTAAATGGCTATTAAATATGCTATTTCAGGAAATAGTTTAATGCTTTCGCTTATTCAATGCTGAAGGCAATTCCCATTAATTAAGCGACAATCAGAAATTGGAATGATGCAACGTTACAAAAGCAGTATATTGTCATAGCTATTTAGTGAACAAAACGTGATAAAAATCCTCATAAGTTGTAGTGGGTAAAACATTAGAAATCTTGCTAGGGCTACAGCCAGCTTTGCCTATCAGAGGGAGAAGAGCGAGCTCCCTATTCTGTGCAGGATTACAAGGCTGGGTCGGACCTGTGTGGAGCACCCATGCCAATCATCCATCCACCACACTGGTCCCTACCTGCTCCTTTACATACGTATCCCTGATGGTCGCTAATCTGATGTCATATTACATACAAGAAAACCAACTGCTTATGTTCCCATGAGACGGCTTATCAAAAGAAAAAAGGGCTATGTTACCTTTATATAAGGAAGCAGGTAGCTGAACCTATATGACCAATCTCTCAACAAAGATGCAATGAATAACATTGGATAAAGCATTTGTACTTAAGGTTTCCTTACTCTATGATTTAGGTTATCAAGACACCCCAATCAGTAGCATGGACTAATTTCACGCCTATACATTTTCCTTTCGAATTTGTACACTTTTCTGAAACACAAAAACGGCCGAGTTAAACTAAATCGATCACTGATCCCACTGCTGTATGCTAAAATATGCAAAAATAAAATCACCAAAGTACCACCCAGCATGGATCAGGACACGGATTTCTGTCTATAGACGATATATACCTGGGGGTGGTGTATTACAAGTTGACTTTCAGCAGGAGCCTATGTCACAGCGCAGACTGACCGTGACCTTGAACTTGACCTTTTATGCCTCTAAATCCGAGCGCTGCTATCACATGGAATGATTGTAAATGGTTCAGTGACACATACTGCAGGGGCATGCCCATGAAATGATCTGTCTGAACTTCTACAAAACGGAGAAAGATAAGATTTATTTATGTGATAGATTATACAGATATGGCAGGAAAAGATGTGGATAATTTTCTGATAGATTTCTATGATGATAGATAGATAGATACATACATACATACATACATGATACAGGTATGGCAGAAAAAGTTGTGGATAATTTTCTGATAGATTTCTAAGATAGATAAATAGATACATGATACAAGTATGGCAGTAAAAGTTGTGGATAATTTTCTGATAGATTTCTAAGATAGATAAATAGATACATGATACAAGTATGGCAGAAAAAGACGTGATACTTTTCAGATAGATGATAAAGGTATGTCCGGAAAAAGCTGTAGATAGTTTTCTGATAGATTTATATGATAGATAGATAAATAGATAGATGATAAAGGTATGGCAGGAAAAGCTGTGGATAGTTTTCTGATAGATTTCTATGATAGATAGATGATAAAGGTATGGCAGGAAAAGCTGTGGATAGTTTTCTGATAGATTTATATGATAGATAGATAAATAGATAGATGATAAAGGTATGGCAGGAAAAGCTGTGGATAGTTTTCAGATAGATAGATAGATAGATAGATGATAAAGGTATGGCAGGAAAAGCTGTGGATAGTTTTCTGATAGATTTCTATGATAGATAGATGATAAAGGTATGGCAGGAAAAGCTGTGGATAGTTTTCTGATAGATTTATATGATAGATAGATAAATAGATAGATGATAAAGGTATGGCAGGAAAAGCTGTGGATAGTTTTCTGATAGATTTATATGATAGATAGATAAATAGATAGATGATAAAGGTATGGCAGGAAAAGCTGTGGATAGTTTTCAGATAGATAGATAGATAGATGATAAAGGTATGGCAGGAAAAGCTGTGGATAGTTTTCTGATAGATTTCTATGATAGATATATAGATAGACAGATATATTTCTATACAAAGATTGCATCGAGCAGTTTGTCCAGGAGCCTAATTTTGCACACAGACATCACTGATTCAATCAGCTACAGTCCCAGAAATAAAATCTATTTTACCAGCTTCCTTCTTCTGCTTCTTCATTTGTGACCTTCAGAATTCTGCCAGAAATGTATTATTCTATCCATGGACAAGTGAAGGCAAGGCATGTCTAGTAGCTTCTATGCCATATAAATCACAATTTAAGAAAAGCGCCGACTCTTTCACCAATGTTATAAGATGCCTTGACAAAGATGTCGTTGTTTTTCTCACATAAGACGGTGATCAATGTCGCCTATTTACAAACCGACAAGCAGGCTTTTCCTTGCGGTAGTGTAACCATTGCACCCAGAAAGTGTCAGATATTCATTCCTTCGGTAAATGAATGTCATATTGTAACAAAACGATATTCTGCTGTAAGAACAGGGAGAGTCCAGCAATCGCAGGGTCGTGTATTAGTGTACTGACTGGGTCTGCATACCTCACCATCAGCTCTCCTGTTATTCCAATATTACTGGAAGATCAGAAGTATCAGCAGCTATTCCCTTTCCCTTCTATTAATAATTGAAACACCTCCACATTGCAGTGGCCTGCTGAGAGTGGTCAGTAACCTACAGCTCATGCAGCGCCAGGTTTAGAGACTACTGCCATGTATATTTTACAAGAACAACAAGATCTGAAGCGTTATGTTTTATATATGGCTCTACATTATATATACATGCCTACATATAACAAAAAGCTGTAAATAAATAATTAGATACGCCAACAGTGCAATTACGGCTTTACACAACCAATATTTGGCTAGGACACATCATAACTCACATTTCATCACTTATACAGCCTTTTTGGGAGATCTTCATGGGTTTTTTTCCATTCGTGTGCACACACATTTTGACACAAGTGTGGCCAGCACGCATTATCATTTACAGGTGAAAGTTATTAGTGCATCATGATTGAACGCCAATAATGCATTCTGCATAGGAAGGCGATACAATAAATGGAGTATTAACCCATTCATTGCAAAACCACATACGCAGTGTGTTGTCCTGCCAACCTCCCACAGAGACACTGAGCTATGTTTCAACTCCCCCCCCCCCCCCCCAGATATCGTTCTACGGTAAAGTAATTATTGTTAGATGATATTCTACACCACAAGTGCAGGTTTGCAGATTTCAGGATTGTTTTTTTTTTTTTTTGCTAACTCTGTCGTACTGTCAAGATGAATAAACCCGACGGAAGGCTAATTATGGCGTTCAGACCGAGATCTGACTCCAGAAAACACAACCGACCTGTCTTTGAGGACAGCACATATCCGTGTACCCAGGGATTCTAGGAAGTTTGGACGGGTCATCTCTGAGTTGCCTACTTCACAATAAATCTTCTTAAATTAATTTTCCTACTTGGCTTAGTGTCAAGCTCCATTGGCGGAAGTTGCTGTGTTCTGCTGATGGCTGGTGCAGAGTGGGTGACCTGTAGGGAGAGAGTAGGAAAAGGTCAGCCCCATGCAGTGTCCACACTCCACAGTTCATTGCTAGAGCATGCTGATCCGATATTGATCCGCCGAGCAAGAGAAACACCAGAGCGCTATTCTATGTCATGAATACTAATGAACGCTGCTTCACACTATTATTAATTGTCACAAGAAACTTTTAACACAGTCATCTGCCGGCCAAGTATGAGACTAGGAGCCCGGCTACTGCAATGTATACTCCCTGCTTAAAACCGATTAGCAGCGCTGGGATCAGGCAGCTCTGAAGATGGCAGAGTGCACTGTACCTGGTGATATACTGGCTGTTATTTTGCTGCTTCACTGTGCTTGGGGGAAATAGGCACACCTTTCTAGTTCTATTTTTGTAGGAGCAATAGCAGAATGAACAAGGTGTCTTCTTATAGATCTGTGTAACACACAATCTGAGCTTCAACCCCCCCCCCCC